GGTGAAACACATTTTAATTTCCTATTTTATTTTGAACTTCAAAAGATTTCTTTCAGACTTCATCAAAAGTGACCAAACAACTGTAGAGACAGGACATGAAAGTTCAGCTCTTCTGACATCTCAACACATGTGGAGACACACAGTCTGGGCTACTAGTAAAAGACAGTTCATCTAAAGTAAATGTCATGCTCTACAATAAAAGCACAGACTTAAACCCAAGTATGCTTTAGCCAAAATTAGGAACAGCAGATACAAGTAATCTTTAACTTTGCTGCAGAAACATTAATTGTTCCAAGAACAAATTAGAATTTCTTTGTAAGAAAACAGACCAAATTAAAGCTTCAAATTATCAAAAGAGGACTCTGTTAAGAGGATTATTACATGTTGTAATTTTCCTCTTTCACGAAAAAAAATATATCTGTGTGATTTGTAGTTAAAAAAACCTAGTACAGTTAGTATGAAACCTAGTTATAGTTAAAAGGTCATTTTCCTTCCTTTAAGAATCCTCTTTCTCTATTTTCAGAGGTGAAGAAGAATATCACATTTAAAGTAGAGTATTTCTGCAAAAGTACACAAGTAAAATGTACATTCTATGACGTAAATATTTTATTGAGAATGGTGATTGGCAAGGCCAACATAAACATCCCATGTTATAACTGCCCAGTGACAGTCAGCATACAGGTCTCTATATGCAAAGTAGGAGGTATTATCCATGTTGGTTTCTTAACAGCAATTCTGTAACCAACATAACATAAAAGCTATCTATTCTTATTTGTCCTTTACCTGCAACCAAGCAGGATCTGAGAACAAGTATTTTATAAGCATGATAACAACTACACCTATACATATACATTAAACCGTGAAACTTAACTTTTGAGATATTTTTATTTGAGCAGAACTGATGCTACTAAGAATCACATAGTATATTAAAAAAAAAAAATCACTTATTCCACACATATGCAAAAGAAGTGAAACCCGGTTCAGAACATGTCTGATAATTACAAAGATAGGTTCAAACGCTGGACGGGCAGATTCTTCCCCCGTGAGAGACCTGAGCCTGCGCCACAGCGCTACTAGGAGCTCCCGGCCTTGGAACGTGATGGGAAATGCCTGCACGAGCCAAGCGATCCCCAAGGAAAAACTCTGCTCTTCCACAGCTCTTTAACAGCACCTGTCTGGATGCCGTTTCCACAACTCTTTCCTCAGTAAGGGCATGCGTTCCACTGCTTTACTTTACCCTTTAAAACAGGTTAACACCCAGTACCGCTCAAAAAAAATTCCGCAGATCGCTTCACGCACCGCGTTGCAGGTAAATAAAACACGCCGCTACCGCACAGCCCAGGCGCGGGCAGCGCTCACGCACATCCCTGTCCTCTCCTGCCGCCCCGGGAGTGCCCGCGGAAGGACAGAGGCCCCAGGCAGAGCGAGCCCCGGGGGCCCCCGCGCCCGCCGGCCCCGCTCCGGCCCCTCTCCAGCCCCGCGTCCGCCCGGACACCCGGGCGAGACCCAGCCGCGACCTTTGCCCTCCTCGGCGCCGCGCCAGCCACCGGCCCCACCCGCCCCGCCGGGCGGTCACTCCAGCCCAGCCCAGCCCCAGCCCAGCCCGGCCCCCGGGCGTCCAGCGTCCCGGCGCGGCCCGGCGCGTTACCTCGGCCGGCGGACGGGCACGATAGAGCAGCATCGCAGCGAACCCGGCGCTCCCTCCGCCTCCCGCGACCGCCCTGCGCGCACCCCGTGCCGGCCTCCGCCCTGCTGCGCCTGCGCGCCCGCCGCGGCCCCGCCCCCTCCTGCCGCAGGACTACGGCTCCCAGGGCTCCCAGGACGCCGCTCAGGGAGCGGGCGGGCCGACCCGCTCCGGGCCATTGGCGCTCATAGAGAGTGGAGTGCAGGGGGCGGTGCTCAGGCGGGAGGCGCGGCCGGCGGGGGGCTGGCGGTGCTGGAGCGGCGAGCGGGACATGGCCGAGGCGGCGCTGCCTCCACCCGCGGCGTGCCCGAAGGAGCACCCGCGCCGAGTCCCAGAGGGTCCGCGGTGGGAGCGAGGGGTCGGGGCCGCCGGAGCTGCCCGGCAGCGACACGCGGGAGCTTCTGGAGGAGGTGGAGATGCAGATCGGCGACGTGAGTGCCGGCGCGGGTCCCCTGGGGAGAGGGTGCCGGGGGTCCCGGTGGGGGTGTTTCCGGGCGCCGGCGACCCCGAACCTCTCTGCCCTTCCTCCAGGCCGCCTTCTCGCTGGCGAAAATCCTGGAGGCGACTTCGGCCGTGTCGGCCCAGGTGGAGGAGCTGGCCACCAAGTGCTCGGAGAACGCCCGGTTCCTAAGGACGTGGCGGGACCTGCTGCGGGAGGGGTACGAGTCCCTGAAGCCCAGCGGGTGAGGTGAGGCTGAGCCAGCCCCGCCGGGTCACGCCGAGCCGCCCGCTCGTGTCGGACTGCAGCGGGGTTCCTTTTAAACCGCCTTCTTTAGGGAATTCACGCCGAGTTTTCTTTGCCCTCAGCAGCTCCCCGTGAGCCCGGATTTTTTTAGAAATACTTGACGATTCGTGTGGATGTTTTATGTAAAAAAATCTTTGTTTAGAGAACTTCTAGACTCCTCGGTGCAGCTCAAGCCATTTCATACTCTCCCGCCTTTTTTTTTTTTTTTTCTTATGCTAACGTGGTAGATACAAAGTTAGTATGTGTGGTACATTCAGAACTCATTATTTGTAGGGAAGTGGTGTCCTGTGAGGAAGTATTGTCAGCCCTCCTTTTTAGAGCTGTCACCAGCAGAAACCTTGCCAACTTCAGAGAGACTTGAACTCGCTTCAGTTTTTTTTCTATGCACACTTTTTCTTCATGTTGAGTAATGGATAATATGGCAAGTTTTGGCTTATTTATGAGCTTTAGAAAAATCCTATATCCCAGACCTTACTATTTTTAGCAGTATTGCAATGTATGTCTATAAAACTGCAGATTTTTTGCAAGAAGTTTTATTATTGCAAACTATTTTACATTATCTTTTGTTGTAATAAAGTGCCTTATGATGGACCATATATCTCTGCATGGTAAAAGTTTGACAGCATTATTTACTGACAGGATGGATTACTTTGAACTGTAAGGAAAGGCTTCCATCAGTTAGAAAAGAATCTGAGACAGGAAGCACCTCAGAGCTTTTTCAGTATTTGGTCCTATTTTTTTATCTTTGCCTTAAGCAGTTTCTAGTTTGTTAGTCTATACCTTACTGTTATCAGAACCTTTTGGTCTGAAAGAACACTAATCTGTAACTGAAACTCCTGTGCCACACAGAGCACTGTGAAAAAAAGTAATGCTGAAATACAAAGGCAGGCTGCAGGATAACATGACTCTACCATGATTTATTAGTTGGCTTTATTTTTACTGGTAGGAGTCTTAGAAAGACCAACTGTAGTTTACTTATCAAAACAATAAAGATGTTACAAAAATTCTGAAGTATTGACTAGTCTTCTGTTACTGATAGAAACAAAGGTGACATTGACTATACAGTAATCAAATTAAGTGAAAAACAACTAGTGGTAAGGACAGGGATCCTTGCATGTCTCATCAAAGGCAGTTAGAGTCCTTGAGAGGGCTTGGCCCCTCAGAGCGTGAAAGGTTTATTGAATCGAGTTATAATTGCTCTCATTAAAGGCAATCCACGTGGCAGGATTTCACTTAGCTGTTTCTAACCCCAGAACCCAAAATGTTGCTAAACAGCTTGGAAAAGAAATCATTTTGTTCAGCAGATAATATTTTATTTCAATAAAACATACAGTAGTGGAAACAAGATGTTTAACAATCTTCAATTTCAAAATAATCCAAAGTTCTGTAAGCAGTTGAAGTGTGAGTCACACTTTTTCAAAATTCTACTTCTTATACTGTTAAGAAGTTAAGTGCAAACATTGGAAATATCTTTTAACTTAATTTTAAATAGTTTCAAATCATCAATGCAAAAAAAGCATTTCTTTTACCTTTGTGGGCTTCTAGGCCATCAGACTGAGTACGATACTGAAAGAAGAAGGGAAGTTGTAATAATTTATAATGGAAAAGATTCTCTTCAGTAAGAATATGTGAAGGAACTGCCTCTAGGGGACTGTTTCAGATGGGATAAGTTTTTTTTGTTTTTTTTTACCCTTGTAATTCTGGGAAAAAATAATGCTCCAAAAACTGCTGAATGGCTGTGGTCTTGAAATTTTAACTATAATGCATTCAGTCAGATGCACAAGTTGATTAAATGTAGATGTCATGACACCTGTTAAGACTAATAGTTTTCTATTTGGTTGTCTTCCATGTACAGAGAGAGACATCTTAAGACAGGAATTTGTTGAAGTCTGCAAGCTGTGCTGAGCTACTTATGGTAGCCCATTAAGAAAAGTGAGGAAAAGAGCAGCATCAAGATGCTGGGATACTCAGTCCAGTCTTTCCAGGAACAGATACTCTTCTGAAGGTAGAAACTTCCACCAGCTGTAGCTGGGGGACACTCACTTGAGAAAAAACCCTCAATTTTAGCATTTTCTTTGCCTGGTTCTGCCTGAATTAGAATCATAAAGATCATCTAGTCCCAGCCACTCCCTGCCCTGGGCAGGGACACCTCCCACTAGACCAGATTACTCAAGGTCTTGTCCAACCTGGAAACTATATTAGAACTATCATTACAACTTCATAATTGTCTTTACATGAGTGAAATAGCTGGTAAAATTATAGAAGGAATACAATTGTCACTTGTTTGGCTCTGACCAATTAGGAAATTGAAATATTTCTCGTAGACCTATTGCTCCCTAAAGCTTTTTAAGAGTTGATGCAGCCTAAATAGAGCCAGCCAGAATTCTGTGGTGAAACACATTTCTTAATGAGGAAATAGGTTAACTCTTAAAAAAATTCATCTGTTGAAATGGGGAATTAAAAAAAAATAAAATAGAATAACTTTTCCCCACACACACTTCCCTAGAAACAGATAATTTTGAAACAATCTGTTTTCAGAATGAGATGTTTTAAATGAAAAATAATTTTTTTCCACACTTCTGGCTTCTGGAAGAAAAAATTCCCGAACAACTGATTTCTCATTCTGATCTAGGATGAATTGTCAAAATGTCAGGTACTGCTGTGAGATGGTAAAATTATTGTTGCGTCAGTTCTACCTATACCCAGACATATTGCTCCCTCTTCTTGCCGCAGTGGTTCACGTGAGCCCAAGTGTCACACCTCCCTCGTTTTTCCTCATTGCTGTAAAGGAGTAAGCCCACGGATATGAAGCTAACAGTACCAATGTCACCGTGAGGATTCAGAATGTGTTTACGTGTATGAATTTAGTCTTGTTGACTGTGTAGTCACTGAAGCATCAGAAGAGTCTGTACAAAGCACAGGCTTCGTAACCTTTGGCGTGATTTCATGCATTGGCCACATCTCTACCCAAATGAATGATGGACCATATATTTTCTGGCTGCCTTTACCTCTTTTGGATCTTCTTTGTCTGTAATTGTACCAAACCTGATGAATCATTTCTTTGAAAGGTCGTGTAGTCAAAGTGTAGAGAAGAGGATTCAGAGCACTATTTATTGGCAGTATAAAAATCACCACCCAAGAAGTTATGGTACCTTAGGGAGGGAAAAAGAAAGGCAGCTGTAATATGCATTCCAGAGTTTGTACCCATTAATTAACACAAGCACTTAATGCCTCTGCAGCACAGCTTCCTGGTGAGAGGGGTGGTCATGCTCCTAGGCTGAGCTCTTTTCACAGCAGGTACTTTTCTTCTCACTACCCTCTTACCTCCCTCTGTTTCCAGGACTCCCTGCAAAACCTGACATTTTTTTATTCTCCCAGTATTTCTATTTATCCCTCTTACTTTTCTGTGCCATAGCTCCCTATTTACCCTGGCAGACTTATTGTTCTGGCTGAGCCCATTTTCTTGCCCCAAAACTTTTTGTCTCTGCTTTGTTCTCTGTCTCTTCCTGTGATCTCTGTTCCCCATCCTCTTCACATGATTAGTGGCATGCAGTCTTAACGAGGTCCCCAATGTCCTATCCTGCTGCAAAACAGAATCGTCCAATCCCTGTATTCCATCGGAGAATGGAATAAACCATCGGAGAAACCATTCCATGGTTTTCTCTTCTGCACCAGGACTACTTGTTTCCTTCCCCTGCAAAGGGCATTGTGTACATCCTCCTTATTTTCTTCTTTTTCTGTTGTCAAGAATTTCTGTGTTCACACCATCTGCCTAGGTCAGTCTGCATTTTTACAACATCCCCTTCTCATCCTTACTGTTTGGGAGATAAGTTACCCAAGGAGCAGGCAGAGAAGGGACAGGATTAAAGTGCTAAAAATTGTTAGTGGGTGCTCTCCATTGCATTGTTTGATTTATAAAACTATTATAGAACTGTTCCAAGAAGCACAAAAAAAATTAGTTCACTCTCCCTTCGTGACACCCCTCTCCATCCCCGTCTCCAGTTTTACAACTTTGTTGCAATATCAATACATTCCTGTCCTTGCCTACCACATTGGCTACACTTTTGGAAAACAGCAGATGCTTAGTTCTAAAGCTGTCACAGTGTATCCCCAAAGTAAAACAAATGCTATCAAACAGAGTTTAAAACTTCTGTAAACTCAGACAGCTAGCTGTGATGTCTTTAATTTTATGAAATGCAGAATATTAATTTACTGAACCCAGGATCACCCCGCGATTCATTAAGATTTCTTCAAGATTTCTTGACTCAGAATACTTCTGCTTCTACTTTTCACAATATTTTCTTTCAAATATCTGAGGTGGTTTGATAATTTCACAAAGAAGCATTCTATAAGATTAAAATAACTGAATATTTGACATAATCAGCATAAATTCAAGATATTTGAAACAGAAGTCAAAACTTTGAATAGGCAACTCCCAACCCTCTTGGTCAGCACATATGGCAAAATCCTCTGAGCTACAATGCTTTCTTACCAACATAATAACATCTGTACTTTGAGTCTGAATCTGCTGTTGCTGATTGCTCACATGTTCATGCTTACATGTTCTAACAGGGTTTACAAACCCCCCACAAAGAGGCTGTTTTTCTGGCATGTACTGGTATTGCAAAGAGAAGGAAAAAATAAGATGCAATTTTTAATCTTTTAGGTTATGCTATTTTTACGTGGGAATATATTCACAGCATGAAGAAGGTAGACAGAGCTTTATAGAACTCAATGTTCTGAGCTATAATTACCAGTTTGTAAAACACAGTTATTTCAAAGTAAGAGTTACATAGTTAAATCAAGGTAGGAAACATTATAATGTCCTGGGCCATATTTAGGCAACAGAACCAGCAAAAGTCATAAGATGAGAAAAGTCAATACAACTCAGCCTTGGTTTTCAAATACATTTTGTACATTTTATAGGTATTATATGGAGACAGACTTGAATGATTTGAATTTTGAAGTTTTTTATCTGACTCATAGGTGGCTAATCTTCGATGATTATAGTAATATAGTTCAATTAAATGGTAAAACTATATAGTCCATTAGAGTCTGTGTATATATAGATCAAAAACATGAAGTTAATTATAGTACTATAGTTCATTTTATTAAATTCTTCTGAAGTAGAAGCAACACTTCACGCAGGCACAGTTGAAACAGCCTCACAAAAGAAAGGACATACCTGGTATTTCTACTTGAAGTAAAGAAAGGAGTTTCAGAATAAAAATAGGTATCCAACATAGTGCATCAGTAAATACAATGAAGAAAAAACGTTTAGCAAGGATCATCTCTTTTTTAATATGATTCCGAATTTCAGTAGCCATAATAGCTGTTTGGTGAACACTGTAGAACATACTCCCATAGGAAAACACAATGATGATAAAAGCTGCCAAGTTTACACCTGTTTAAAAGTTAAAATTTGTTATAATTTAGCAGCATAATGGCAATTCTACATCACCTATTTGCAATCTAGGTAGTAAAGAAAAATATTTTATCTAAACTCTAGTCCCACAGAATTAAGTGGCCAGAAAATTTGAGTCCTCACCTCAAGATTGAATTTTTGCCTCCACTCAGGTATTTATTTCTGATCCAAACTACAGAGTTCTCCTCTGATCTTACTATTGCTCTACTTCCCTAAAAAAATCTAATAATTCAGGAACTTCATGGTCTATAATTTCTTTCTATTTTTTCAGCCCTTCATGCATTTTAAGATACATAATTACTCATCTAATAGAGTAGAATAGTCTTTAAGTGTTTGCTGAAGCCTCTAAATCCAAGGAGGTGTGAACATCACAGCTATCTTATTTGTTTGAAAACTAGGTTAGTTAGCAACTCTAATCATATATAAAGAAGAAATGCAACTTACCTAAGAAAATGACAACAGAGTAAATCTGACTTCCTGAACTTTCTGATTGTTCTGAGTGAAGAGGAAAACAGACACCATTGGTGCCATAGTAGTTCCTGAAAAATTCCTTATTGCTCAGTGGGATGAAAGCAACAGCAAACCCAATTATCCAGATAAGAACCAAAATGGAAATTGTCCTGCATTTTCTGGGCTTCAAACACCTAAAAGGATAAACTATGCAGATGTATTTTTCCAAAGTCAGATATGTCAACAGTAAGACTGACACCTCTGTAGACAGAATAGCCAGCGATCCAACCAATTGACAGTGAATACTGTCCATCCACAACTGAGCGTGCTTGTTGTATTCTCCACGATATTTAAGATCAAAAGCTCCAATCACAAATAAATATATTCCCATCAGACAGTCAGCACCTGTGGGCACAGTGCTTAACATCATTATTTACACATCTGAATTTCCCATTATCTCTGTATATTGGAAAACAGACATACACACATATATATACGAGTACTTATTTACAAATCAGCTAATAGATATAAAAATCCACATTACAGTTGGAATGCTATTATGAATTAAAATTAAGGCAGTATAATTAATTTTAATTATTTTATAATTATTTTTCTTTTTTTTTTTTTAGTTTTTATTTGGACTGACAGTCTATGTTTCATACTTGTTTCCAACCTGTTTTTTTAAAGCTCAGGTAAAATTGGTTTGTAAGTAGAAAAAGATATGGCTTCATTTATAGAAATATTCTTGCAACCCTTTTTTATTAGGTCTTATTTCTTTAGATGTTAACATTTGGTTTAAGATTAATAAGCCATCTCTGCTGGATTCAAAGGTTAGTTTTGTCCATCTTATGCTAATTCAAAACTCTTGTGCATAGTCTTCTCACCCTAAAAAGGGAAGATGACCTGTCAACACAGAACTGAAGGCTTCTTAGATATTTTGCCTAAAAATTTTTCATAGTATTCAGATTGTTCCTATGGAAACAACAAAGTTTCAAAATCACTGACATTTAGAAATGTTGTAATCATTTGTTGACACTTGACAACTACCTTTCAAAATGCATCTAATTGCATTTGTGAAATACTTATAGACTCTCCTGTATTGAGACAGGGTACTCAAGATTGTAGTAACTGTACTGCCAGATAGTTCATCCATAAACTTGTCTTGCTTATAGAAGTAAAATAAAAAACCCCAATTCCTAATATTGGGGATATGGGAGAGATTAATTTTCTCTATTTGCATAAGTAACCTTTTGCTCATGCAAAAAATAGAATATCTTAATATTTACATGCAGAAATTGTTACTTAGAAATGCATAATGAAATATAGATTTATGGACCTTTGAAAACATTGAAATTCTATTTCTTTACGCTGAAGAAAGTGGGAATTTGAGAAAATACCCGCAGCATGAAAACCAAACATGAAAGCTTTGGAATATATCAGCCACCAAAGGCAGCATTTAATGAGAACTTCTGGTATATATGGTACAGTATTTTGTATTGTCATTTGCAACAGCATGAAAGTACAGTTAATCCAGTGCTCGAAATATGTCTCTGTATTATAGTAAGTACTATCACACATACTATGAGCAGACTAAAAAGATATTCTTTTATGCATGGTGTACTCACAGCAAAGAGACATTATTGAGATGGCGTGCAGCTTATTCTCCGATCTGATGTAAGGTCTCATGCAGATAACAAAAATATTTCCAAAGCAGGTGATGGCAGATACAACCCAGACAAACACTCTCTGTATGATGCTAGCTAAAAGATTCTCGAGGGAGGAAATCCCATCAGTGTTAGGCTTACAGCTGCGCACATGAGGGGCATATCCACAGTATTGGAATTTCTTAAAATATCTGGTTGTGAGAAACAGATAAGAGATGGTTCTAGTTTGGTTATCAGAAAACCCTCTAGTAACTACTCAGAAAACATATTCTGAAAGAAGAAAAATTAATCAAAATCTGTCAAAATTTGACAACTGTTCATATGCTGCTTTTCATATGCCTGCTTTCAATTATCCAGTATTCTTTAATTGTAAAATTCAGACCTAGGAAAGCAAATTAGAGTAATCTACTTACATGTGGGAAAGGTTTCTCAGGGGTCTGAACATTCTTCTCTGGATGTTTGCAATTTCAATGCCCTCCAAACTGCTGTAAAAAATATATTCTCAGTAAAAGGCCATAGAAAAACAGGAGTAAAAGAACAAACCTTATGAGCATTTAATTGTGATTACATGATGACTATAGGAAACTAGAGGTGAACTTTAATTTCGTCTAATCTGTTACCCCTTTGAAACTTGACCAGAAAGTCCGCACAAAATCTCAAGAGGAATAAAATAAATTGCAGTTAATTCTAATAAACTCGCTGCTCTTCCAGAATCGTGAAGAAAACTCTTGGTGCTCTCAGCCATGAGAATCTCTGAATCTCTGATTAACATGTTGCCCTTCCAAAGTGCTATTCTACTGATGTTCTTTCATCATCTCTGGGGAAATAATAACTTCTTCTAGTAATAATATTTTAGATGTTTCATCTGTCTTTTATCCCAGGGAGTGCTTTACTAGACAAACAAACCACTGCAGGAACTCAGTCTTCATTATGTCGAGAACAGCGGGAACCTGGGACACAGACCACAGCATGTAGGGGAAAAAGCTGGCTTTCTTGTGACACAGAGATGGGATTCCTCATTTTAATTTTTTTATGTATATTGAAAACAGCAATATTGTTTCCCCTGTAGTGTTAGATAAGTAAAGTTTATCTGTGTAAGTTATTCTTTTAGAACTTCAGTTTCTGTATTTTTGCAGTGCATCCTCTTCACTGTGTTAGATGGTGCAACTGCTCTGTTGGTGCACCTATAAAAACTTCTCCTAAACTCTTTAGAAAGATTTATATAAGTCCCAACTTTCTCTGACATGGAAGCTGAATCATACTTAACCATTGTTCTTCCAATGGTGTTAGCAGTAGATTCTGTAAAAATGGAAATGTGTCCCCAAACTTGTAGATATGTGAAATTCTTTTATAATTCCAATCTTTACATATCCTAACAGTAGTTGCCCATAGTGTTAATAGCCCCAGCTGGACCTTGCATGATCCTTAAGGCCCGGGAACAAATTGTACAATGTCAAATGAGGGTTGTGTTACTCTTGTTCTGTAATAGCTGACAATGTTATTCTCTAAGCTAAATTTATGGTCTCTTTTTGCTGGAAAAAATTCCATTACAAAACTGGTATTCTCAGGAAGAAAAACTTGAGTATTGCTAGTAATTTTCCAGGCTTAAATTATTGAAGATCATCAACATAACCATAAAATATATCAAGGACAATTTCTTACAAAACATATTCTGGATCATGTCCTTCCAAGGGATAAGCATAACCACAAAGAAAATATAGCTAAAATATAAAGACTTGATACTTACAGGGATTTGAGTTTAATTAGAAAATCAAACTGGTCTATTTGTACTTTCTTGATGGGGTTGTAAGAAAGATTCCTGTAAATAAAACATAAGTAACTTTGGCTATCTTCCTTACTGCTTGTTCTAAAAATAAAGTGAAACTACATAACCCACTTGCTTTTCTAGTCCTGTAGGAAGGACTTGTACCCTTGGCAGTTACAATTGCAAAAGGTAAGAATCATTTAGCATTATTTAGCTTCCTAAGCCAATGGAAAGAGTGGTCGGATGCTTCACAAGCATGCTATTGCCATGTACACACACACAGAGACACATAACTTCCTCCCCCAGCCTGATGCTTAAAGGTTTTGACTATAGAAATATTTAGTTATTAATCTTTACAGACTTGTCTTTCAAGTAAAAGAACCTATCTGAACTGCATGCATTTAGAAAAAAATTACAATTGATTTTGCATGTGAGTTCAAGGGACAGGGACAGAATGGAAAAATAAACATTAGCATTATACACTGTCACTCTGTGCAAGAGTGTTTCTAGGTACATCCTCTTTTACTTCTCCCTATAACTTTTCTTTATGTTTTCTTCTTAATATTGTAATTAAAATGCGTAAACTCAATAAATGCAACTGTACACACTTGGTTATATAGAGTTACTTCTGGGATAAGTGTACTTTAGGTAGAGCTTAAATGATGCATACAAACAAATGTGCTCTTCTCTTTCCTGGTACACATGACTAAAAGTATCATATCAAATGAGAAAAATACAGTTATATGTAATAATAACGAAGAATCCTTACAGTTGTGAAAGCTCCTTTAGATCCTTAAATATATATGGAGGAAGTGATTCAATCTTGTTGCTACCCAAATCTCTGCAGAAACAGGAAGGATACAGTAAACTCTTACTAGGCTCAAAAATTTTACCAAACAGTTTCACAATTTCAATATACACAATTTTATTTTATCTGCCAAAGAGGATATTGTTTATCCAAATGTTATCAGAAACTTGTTATCAGAAACTTCTATTTTAATAGAATACTATTAAAACAAGGTGGGAAGCTAGATCCAGCAAATCATTCTCTGTATTATTAGTTCAGATGTACCTGTCATGGTTTGAAAATTGCCCCCCCTGGGAGCCGGGGGGCCGATAGGTGAGGTGATTGGATTCCAGGGCAGTCTCCCCTGGAGGGCCAATCACTGCTCGTTTTGTTCGCTCCTGTGAAAAATCATATATACACAACTGCTGGAAGTGGTTGGCCATCGGTCTGTCTGGCTGCTGCTGGGTCTGCTGCTGTGTGGGTGTGTGGGTGTGAGAAGGCTCAGGGGTGACAGGGCCCCCTTTTTTTCCTCTGGGGGAAGGGGGACCCTGTGGCCCCACAGCTCTGGCCAAGCCAGGGTTGGAGGCAGCACTGGAGTGTTGTGAGAGAGAGAGAAAGACTCACAACATAAGGTAAGCGGGGAGAGAGACAGGCAAGCTCCTTGCGAGGAGCCAGGCCCTCTTCCTCCCCCCGCCCCCTTTCCAGCTAGTCTGCAGAGGGGGCTTTCTTTTCCCTCTCACTGTAAAGCAGAGGGGAGGCTCAGCATTGGAGCCAAGCCAAAGTGGATGGGCTGAACGCAGCCCGGCACCAGGGAGATAACCCCAGGCGAAATTGGAAACGGACCAGAGAAAGGCCCCGAGGATGTCCTTGCAGTGATTTAAACGGAGGACAGCCGAAAACTCGGAGGAAGAATGAAGATTCCAGGACACGTACGTGTGATAAGCTGAACTAAACTACAGCAGCTACGAAACCGAGGTATGAGAGAGAGAATCACACAGCAGAGACTGACATGGAACCAAGGAGCATGGACTCAAACTATTTTCTTGGACTTTGTAAGGAAGAAGAGACTTCAGTAAACAGCTGGAGGTTGGTGGGAGTAGTGAACCCTTTTCCCTGAACACTCCCACGAGAGAAGGACTGTTTACCTATCAGCCTGAAGGGCTTTTTCTGGACTGAATTGAGGGAGAAGCTTAGAGGGACTGATAGAAGTGTATAATATTATATGTATATAGTTGCTTTTAGCTTGTACAGTATATTTATTTGTGTAAAATAAATGTATATACTTCCCCTTCTCCCCTATAGAAGCCTCTTGCCTGAAAGTTTCTCTTCAGTGTTTAGATAAAAATTGTGGGAAGGGGTGGGGGAAGCCTGGAAATTGGATTTTATATTTTTGTGGTGGCTCAAACCACCACAGTACCATTAGATACATAACTTACAGTTATTTTGTTTCTGTCAAAAAGAAAGTAAAATACCTTTAATTTTTAAATTAATTAAACATTGTTTCATGATAAGAATTCTTTCACATGGGCTAAACAGCACGTCTGTACTGGTTTTGTCTCTACCTTTCACCTTATTTTTACTAAACATAAATCCCAATAACAGAGGAGTAAGGATCTCAGTCCAACTGAAGCTGGCAAACTGGTCTAAAAGACACTGAAGGCACACGTACACTGGGCTGTGGTAATGCAAGATAAATATTATTCTGTTCAGGGAACATAACAATCTTGTGAGCAAAAGCCCCAGTATTATTGGTACAGACTATGCATTTTGTTGACTATTTCTTCCCTGTTCAATACGTATTAAAAAACCATAAGAAAGGATGACATCTCCAGAGCGTGTCATATGAAATAGAATTTATGATGAATGATATTTTCAATATAAATTACCAAACTTTGTGACTTGTACAAATAAGAGAAGAAATCTACTCACAATTCATCTAACATCTGGAGAGAAGAGAAGCTGTTTTCATTTAGAGAGCTGATTTTATTTCGTCTCATCACCCTGAAAGAACAAAACCAACTTACGTTGCTCCTTCTTGATAACTATTTGGTTTTGGAGAAAAGGTTTCATAAATTTTAAAAATTTTCTCTTTTCTGCATCTTCAATTTGAATTTGCCCAAATCAGTTAAGCTAATTTCATCTAGAAGCTTGCCATTTCATCATTTGGTAAGTAATTTTTTTTGCCTATACATCCTATACATGCATGCATGTACTTCCACATATGTATATACATACACACACATATACACACCCATGGGAAGCTGGTGTAAATTGACTGAAGGCAGGAGGAACATTGAGTGGACTGGAAGGATTGTGACCTAATCACATCTCAGACACAGGCACATGGTTGTGCAACTTCGCGTTCACTCTTATTTCATCTGCCACTGAACTTGCTCCTTAAATGAACAACCAGGATTTTAAAAACAATGAGAAAGCCAAGAACATGGGTACTGCACAGGAGTTAAAAATTGAAAGTGACAGATACCATGGAGCTACTAATCTCTCAAAAAGTGGAAGGGATTTTCTGAAGACTGTTACATCATCATTGAAGAAACTTTTAGGAAAATTCTAGAATTGATGAGCCAGGCAACCTACCAACCAATCAAACTCTTTAAAATGAAGAAACAAGCTATGCACTTTGTACATTTTCTGCTTTTATTATGAGATTTTTGCCTCCAAGAAAAAAATTATAATGAAAATTTCTAAACCTTAGTATCAGCCAAAATCACTTCAGTGAAGTTTAGTTGCACATTTCACTGCTGAACTTTGCTATAAATGTAAACAGTGATTAATTCCCTGTGGGGGTCATTTCAAACCACACATTTTAATAATATACTCAAGAGATAAAAAAACTATGATACTCAGGAAACTTTTATATTAGCTGTAATGAATCACTTGACTGTTCAGCACAGGCATATCTCACTCTGGCTAGCCAGCATATCTTATTACTTACAATACAGTTAGAGTGCTGCAGGAGATGAAAGTAGCATTTCTCACATGATGGATATGGTTCCCTTCAAGGTCTCTAGAATATAAAGAAAACCCCATTAATCACTGAAAATAAATTCAGGCAGTTATTATAAGGTAATTAAAGAAAAATACTACCAGAACTTCATCACTGCATAGAAGAAAGTGGGAGATGGACATGTAATACTTCTGCACACTTAATTGATGACTTCAGGTCATCAAACCTGCAGTGACCCAGCAGGCAGTCTGCAAGATCCAGTGCCCCATTAGAAAAAGAGTCATGGAAGTGCCATACAAAGACAACAAAATAATATTATTCTAGTGAAATAAGGTATACTTACAGCCAGTTTAGTCTTGGCATATATTGGCACAGAGGTTTATCAGGCAAACGAACAAGAGAATTATTCATCATTTCACTGGAAAAAAAGAGGAATAGTATATAGCTAGTTGTATTTGCCTAAAGTTAAAGATATAGAAAAAAATTGATGTCTCTTCTCCTTGTACTTTTGTGAAAAAAATAATTCAAATCTTAATTTGTTTCTTATAGTTTTGAGAAGATAGTACTATTTTCTTAAACTTCCACATATTTTCACTGTGGCATTCTGTGGAGCAGTACTTTATCCTTTACTTGTTAATTAGCAGGTAAAGGAAAGATGTTCATTTCCCTGCTATTGAAATAAAACATAGCAAGCCAACACAATGTGCAATTCAACAGCGGCAGGTTATAGACAGTGATTTGGGGGGCAGGGCTGGGCAGCTGCAAGGGGCAGGGACTATGGGACACCCTCCTCTTGCACCACGGCTCTGGAGGACAACTGGAACTGCACAACTGCTGCAGCTGCCTCGTCCTTGCACTCTCAGTGATGCATTTTACCATTTTCTCCACCCATCTCTCTTATCTTTTCCAGACATGGCATGTCCTACTCCAACACATTTTGCCCAGGGTAAGAAAAAGCTTCAGATGTGCTGCCAGCACTCTGTGGTGAGCAAGCACAGTCATTATAAAAAGCTTTTTAAATGTATGTGCCCTTTCTATTCTGTTCTTTTAAATAACTCTTTTGTATCTTATTTCATACTTACAGAAGAATAAGTGATTTGAGTCCATAAAATGTTAACGGATAGATCCGATTTATCCTATTATTTTCAATTATCCTATAAATTACAGCAAAGCATGTATCAGATTGACAATTGACTTGAGTATTAAATTGAACAGATAATAAAAAGTAACATATTTTAAAGTGGATTTCTTCAATGTTCAGTCAAACTACTTAAAAAAATCAGCACACTACTCCCTAACAAGTTAAGGCCTTAATTGAATTAATTTCCTTTCAGAAAAATTTAATTAAAAAAAATTAATTCTGAGAAAGTAATTAATTTCATCTTAGAAAAAGTGTTTTCCTTTGAGTTTTTTAAATTCTTTGATCAAGATATTTTGAATGGATTTTCTGTGAAAACAAAGCAGCACAACACAGTAGTGTTCTGTGGTGATCCAACAGTTCCAAAGACATGGAAGAAGGTTAGACATATTATTTTCTTATTTTTAATGACTTTTCTTAGTTGAAATCTGTCTGAAAAGCAGTAATAAGAAAATATTTCAGATTATGACAGTCATTTTGTCTGGACATTTCAAGCATTATTTACAGGAAAAGACCGGCCCCCAAAAATTATCTTTCTACTGTTTTATAGTATCTGAGTTATTTAATTTATTAATTTGTAACAAGCAATTGCTAATAGACATTATTTACTATTGTATATGCCATCAGTCACTGAAGCCATTAAGGCCCAAGAACTTTTTTCTGCTCTCACCAAAGTCAATTGCATTTTTACCTTGCACAGTACAACAGGAGTTCCTTAGTTATTATCTAGTAAAAAGTATTGCTATGCACAAAAATTAAAGTTATCCAAATATTTCTCTTTTATGAATTATTTATTGAAATAATAAATTTATTGAATTTATTTATTGAATAAATAAACACACAAATAAGAAAGCAACATACAGCCATTCAAGTCTGTGGAGGTCTGCAAAAACAAAAGGCTCCAAACTAGTTATCTTGTTGTTACTCAGGTATCTAAAACAAGATCAACCAAAGATAAATTAATGGAATGATTAGTTAGCAGTAGATGCATGAAAATGAGTTTTAATATTATTTTTCCTTGATTATTTATCAGAAAGCTACTACTTTTTTTCATAATTATAATTTTTGAGTATGGTAATTTTCATGCCATTGTTTGACAACAAGACTCTCTCTAATGAGGACTTTAACAGCAATTATTAGAGCACTTTGTCTTATCTATAAGAAAGCACAGCCAGCTAAATATTTTCACTGTGTCATATTTTAGGCCCTTCCCTGTTTCCTTTTGTGGAGTGATTTGTTCCATGGATGTTCCCTGGACCTGTTCAGTTTTTGCTAAGGATACTGGTCATAAATGTAGATGCCAGAATAATGGAACAAGAAAGGCTGAAAAAGAAGGGGAAGAGGTACTATAAATGGTCTGGGAAGATAATAACAGCAGCTGTAATAACAGATAACCAACCACACTCATATGACGGAAAAAATAGGAGGTACAATTTTAAAAAACTTCCTTTTTAAAAAATATTGCAGAAAAAATCTTAATAAAACAATTTATGTGTTGTCTCTTTCATCTCTTAAAAGCATCTTCTAAAGGTTGGAAACACCTTTTAAAAAGCCGCTGCAAAATAAAGAAAAAAACGTTCCTTTCATTACCTATACTGGTTACTTTGAATTGCTTCTGTAAACCAAAATAACAGCATTAAAGATTTTTCATCCATCACAAGCTCTCACTTTCATTTTACTTCTTTTTCATTCTCTTTGATTTTCTGCAGGGTAACTATCATACTATCTCCTTCTTCCATTCTGAGGATATGAGGAATAGGAGTGAAGTATGGAGCCAACTTGTATTTTCAAAGTATCGTCCTGCACAGATAACTCTTAATCTGTCTTTGCTTTCTCAATCCAATCGTTGAGTTAAAGATTTGGACCATTTTGCAGGTTCCTAACATGGAATGAAATAGAGCAAGACATCCATAGCAACTCTCAGAGCTCTGACTGCTGGTTTTTACTTCAATATTCTAAAAGCAATACTTACAGTTTTGTCAAATTGTATAATCCTTTGAAAGCACGTTCAGACACAGCTCTAATTTTATTATTCTGAAGATACCTAAGAAGATAGAAACCCAACAATTAATTCTCTAAATAAGGAAAGTTAAAGCAAACCTGAGTAAATAATTAAAATCTATCAGCTAAACTGAACGTACATTTTATACTTTAAAATAAGTTTTCAAACTTGTTACACTTTGAATTTGACAATAACCATTTCACAGCTATAGCTGCAAAGACTGCAAAGGTGTTTTTAAAGAAATACACATGAAGAGCAGAATTACAAAATTCATTCAAAGGGACTCGTACTTTGCCTGAGATGAACAATGAAGTGGTTGTTTGCAACCTCCTTGATTAGGTCCTAAACTTGCAGTGCTCACCTGTGTGACCTGATCTTTGTGCTTAGCCAGATCTCTGCTACAAGCAAAATTTTGCACAGAAAATATTAGTTTAAAACAATTTTTGAATTTTCCATTTGCAGTATCAGAGAATTATCAAAATGCTGCCTTTTTAAGATAATATAATAAAAATGTACAGCAAATCTTACTAATCTTCTCTAAAGGAAAGATACTAATTTTTTAAATTATGGTTTTCTTTAGCTACTTTGATGAAATAATGAGCTGAAAATATTATCAGCTGCAAATATTAAATAATTTTCAAATAATTTTAAAGCATCATATTGTTATTCTCTGAGCAATATTTAAATATAAGTTCTTTTAATTAAATTACAGTTAATAAAGCATCCAGATGCATTCCTGTTAAAGCAATAAGAGATCTGACATTGGGCTTCTGTCAAACACTGTTCAAGACCTTTTGGAAAATGTATATCATTCAGATCAGATGGGTGTGAAGTCAACATTAGAAGCAAATGTTTTGTACAGATAGATATGGATATGTTTCTTTTAACGAAAATGTACCTTTCAAGACTGTAAGGTCATAATGACACTTAACTTTCAGAACACAAGATGGTGCTGCAGTACAGCAGAGTTCCCATAAAAGAGACCTTTAAACTGACGTTAAGAGCCCTGTTTTAGATTTTCATTTAATTTTTAATTTCACTAATTCTAGATCAAAAAAAATTATTAAAGTCTATGATTTTTGAACAACATAAATGTTACTCATTGTGAAATATTACACAGTATTGTTCTGCCATAACAATTGACTAGTTGGGGCATTACTGAGTTGGTACCAGACATAATTAGGAGTAAAACCACGTGCCATGTGAGTGAGCTTCCCATGACAGTGGGAAGTTTGAATTTCCAAACTTTTGTTTTGCAGAATAAACAGATTGACTTACTTTAATTTATTTTGGCATATACTGTTCATTATAAATGTAACTTCCTTCAGACACAATGAAAGTTTAGCATTTTTTTGGTATAAACCAGTCCATATAAAAACATTAAATATGCAGAGATTATGGTTTTGAAAAAAGACAGATGTCAAATCAAGATACTTGAGCCAAACAGACTACACATGACGTATTGAAGGGTGAGATTAACCAGAATTTTGTTACTTAGATGTTAAGCTCTGTGTGTGTGTACATATGGAAGAAAGAGAGGAGGAATGTTTAAGGCACTAAATAGATATTTTAGGTTGAAGCACTCCCTTACAGATTTTTAAGATCTTGATATTTCTTGAAAACATCAGCAGAAAGCTTTCTTAGCAGATTCCTCTGAAGAGACCTGTAGGAATGAATGCATACAGTAAAACTACTGTCCCAGCTTCCTATAGTGCTGCTACTTTTGTTATTCAATAAGAGCAGCTCTCACACTGCTAAATAATGAAAACAATATGAAACTATCTGAACATGCTACTTTTGTTTGTCTGAATATTTGTATCTATTTAACAGTAAGATAAATGCTTTATAATAATAAAAAAAATTCTTCCATGACCCCAGGAAAACTGGCAATATAATAGTTAAATCTAAGAATGAAAAAGTTTTGAGTATAAACTACAGATTTATTTCAAACATCAAATGCATATAGAGCTTATTTCCCAGTTCATGTGTCTCTATGTCCCCGTCTCCACTGGGGATACTCAAGTGTCCTGTCAAAACCAAAATTCCTTCGGGGCATGATTGGATTAGAAGAGAATCTAGCCTGAAAGGCAGCTGAACCAACTCAACAAGGAGAACATCAGCCACGAGTGAGCACAGACTGGTACTGTTCGGAAGGATCCGTACCCTTGCTCTACAAGGCAGATCCTCAGCTCAGGACACGTGATGCTGCACTCTGCTCACCACACATAAAGCTGCCTCTCAAACAGTGATATGCAAACCAAGTGCACATTAACCATTTTGTCATCTCTTAAAAAGGTTTGGCTTATCATACATATCTGTACGATGACTCAGCCCACATTAAACCCTTTTAAATAACAGCGTATTCAGACACATAAGCTGAGAACTAAAAAGATTTGCTCAAGCAGGTAGCTCCACTGATTTCAAGATTATTGACTTTATTGACAGAAATACAGACTAGGAATATTGGCAGGATTGTAGTATAATAAAAAGGTTCTAAGCATTGTGTCTTTAAAGGAAACTTCTGTAGATTTCTTTAGATTTCCTGAAACTTGCTAGCTCAAGTCACTCTTACAAAAACAAAATTTTCACTTCACACAGTTTTTTAGTTTCTTTTCTCTCCTTTTATATAGGAAGAATCTCTACTTAAAACTTCCTGCTGGCAAAGTACTTGGCAGCAGTAAGACATGGTGCTTTCCAAGCACCAGCTGAGCCAACTGATCATAATTATAAGGCTGTAGTTGTGAAAAGGTTTCAGGATTGATAGTCAAACCTGAACAGAGCAAGAGACCACTTTACTTCTTTACTTACATTACAGTTATGTTTGAAGAGACTGATGGGACAGCTCGTAATTTGGCAGCATCACAGAAGATCTCCAGCCCTTGGCAGATACACTCTGATGGCACATCCCCAGCCACTGCATGAGAACAAGAAGGTGGTTGTGGCAAAAGGTGGGATGTGTGGTGGGATATGAAGAAAAGAAATATGGTGTAAAAGAACAATGAGCACAAAGGCAGACATAGCAGGCTCTGTTACACAGAAATTAAGGCACATGTTTTTACATAATTCATTTAGACCTGGTAAGAACCTAACAATAAATATAAAGGAACACAAAAAATTATTTTACCTTCTGACCTCTGTGAAAGGGCTTTTAAAAGCTCTTGAGCCTTAGGCTTGTTGTACAGGAATCTGGCATGGATTTTTTGCAGCACTTATTTAGATTATTCAGTCCTCTTATTTTACTAGAATGAGCACAGTTCTGCCTGGGTGAAAATGCGATGAAAATGGGTCAGGAAGTCTTTGCTCCCTTTCAGCCCAACTCTGTGTTTTAAATTACTGCTCACAGTAGGCAGCAGAATCAAAAAGTCTGTACAAAGGCCTGCATAAGTGGAGCAGGTTTGCAAGTTTCATTTGATGTACAAAGACGTGAACTGGGGAGAATATTGCCTTCATTTCATTCTGAAATATGTGTGAAATATATGTCTTTCCAGCAGTATCAACATATTCAAATAAACGTTTATATTATGCTCCTAATTGGAATATGTTAATTGGCATATGTTTGGCACTCCTCTTGCAGAAAATGAATCATCCTTAATGAAACTGAAATTAACTTCAAATTAGCATTTGTTTATCTGAGACATTAATTCTGTTTTACTATAAATGAAACTGCATTATCTTTCACTTCCTGATAAGCATATATTTGCTGTGTATTTTTCTCTAGGAATCATCATTAATAATCACTCAAATAATATCTGTAATTACTTACAGCACTCAGGTGTCTTTTTCTGAAATGCATACAGAGATTTCAGTTTATTGTACTTGTCCTTTGTATAATGTTTATCAAATTGCAGAGACCATCCGTTGTTGTCTTCTAATAAAAAAACAAACAAAACCACAACACAAACAGACCACAAATAGAAGACATTGGAATACAAACAGAAGGTATTAATATCTTCACTTAATTTAGTTGCATCAAGTTTTATCTAAATAATATGGGATTTTTTCCAGCGCATTTCACAGATCATTAGATAACCTTATCTTTTAGAGCTGCCTAATCACACATAGCTAGGGAGATTATAAGGTGCATAGTAGGAACAATTTATTACACCTTCAACAACTTTTTCTGTGACAGTCACACTGAAAAAACTACGATCTTGACATTAGAAATTTTTGTTTACATAGGAGTCTAAAGATGAGAGGGAACCATATTTCCCTACATCCTTAAATGTGTGGGTTTGTCACTTTGTCCGTGGAAACTGAAATGATTACTGTGACTCTGACTTATTCTTTCAGAGAGCCATCTTGTCTATAATTTCTTTTTGAAAATCTAGACAAAGGCCAAAGAAACATTGCTTTTCAAGAGAAAAGGAGGCTTGGTGTAATGTATTCAAGGCAGTGTGTTTAAGTTAACAGGCATCTTAAACAAAGCATGATTCCATATTATCAGTTTGGTCACTGTGCATAAATATACTGGAAATGAGTTTATGGCTAAAAAAGCAAAAATTGAAGAGCAAACCTTTCAGTTCCTTCCACCAAAGGGACATTTCAAGATACAGTGGTGCCGGAAATAACTTCAGATACATTAGTTGTTTGTTTCTTGGAAGTCTATTGTGTATGGGAGATCTGTAAATTAACTGATCAGGTAACCACTTCCAAAAAAGGGTGGAAAGGGAAAGGTAACTTGCCTTTAAAAGCTGTGATTGGATTTTAGTTGTATCAATTTGAGTCTGACTTCTCTTTACCTTTGACACACCCTTTTAGTTTAAAGCATCTCATTTAATGAACACTCACAGCAGCAGCAATGTTCCTAATGCATTTTGAACTGAGTGAAAGGTATTGGCAAACTTGCAGAAACATTGTTGTTTCCTGTTTTAAATCATTAGAAGAAGCTCAGTTTTAGGACTGCCTGCAGCATGGAATTTGTAATTGGTGAAGCAATGAGAACAGATTCTTTGCCAAGTGGCAATTGCCTTATAAACCTACTGCCCCATAGATGGGACCATAATGAGGTTTCCTTTATCATTATTCCTGAATATTTAGCTGGAAAGCTAAATATTTCTGAATATTTAGCTTTCATTTGTATGACTGGACCCATCAACTGGGACCTGAAGAAACTGGTGGGAACACAACATATGCAGAGAAAGTAAGATTTAAGAAGAAAGGAATCTTTTGTTGAGTGTTTTAAAAAATAAATTTGTAAAGATTTTTAAAAATGAGATTGTTCTTGAAGTTTTAATCATACTAAATAAATGTTTTGCAGTCAGGAATATAGTCTCAAATACTTTTGGATTTTCTAAATCATAATTATGTTCGTAGAAAGTTTTGGACAACTAAACACTTATCTGCACATTTTAAACATGTAGTTAAGAGCCATAAATTCTAATCCACCTGTAAGCCAATGAACACATAAAGTATAATTTTTCTGCATTTCCCTGCTTCTGACTCTACAGTGGATATGCAAGATTTTATTCCGCCTTTTTATACTTTTAAAATTCTTTGCCATGTGACACAGCATGTACAGGAGGTGACATCACTGCACATCTGCAGAGGAAATGAGTAGGGTCTCCCACACTAATGGGAATGATGGAGCAGTTCACTACAAAGGAAAGGTTCAACAGCATTTTTGAGGAAGTTGAGAGGCAACTGTGTATTTTTGGGTGGCCATAAAAAAAGAGGGGAAAAAAATTGCAGTGAAGATGGATTATTTTGTACTGGAATCATTCCAGTTTGGAGTTTCTAGTCAGTTTATTTCAAATAATGGGCTTTTCTGATGGAATTGATTTTCTTGCCTTCTACTAGAAATACAAAGGCATATATAATCTAACAAGTTGTTAAAGGTTTTTTGACCTTCAGAAATATACACTTTGGGCCAAGTTTTATGCCCAAGCCTGGGACAGTCTTTATTTCATACAAACTATTTTGTCAAATCCTGAAAGAATGTATTGTGCAAATAACTATATTTAGTAGAAACATTTGATGAAGCATTCAATGGCAGAATTGTAAATCACTCTGTGATTGTTTAGAGTTTATATGGAAGGTTTGTGACCTGTTAACCTCTTTTGAGGCGAGGTTCTCCAAACACTTTAAGAAATGACTGGTAATAGTACTGGTCTTGAAATCCCAAATCTATCATTGAGAGAGTACAGCTCAGATGAGAAATTGCTTTTCCCCCGAGCCAGTTCTAAAATAGATTATGTTGGCTGTGCTTCTGTAAAATAACCAGAGATCTAGGAAAACAAGGCATCATCAAATCTTCTTTTACATGGGATAAGTGAAATAAGTGTTGGTAAACTGGTTTTATCTTACTACAGATTAGTACACTGTTCCTCGCTAAAAGTCGCTGATTACTGCTTCTGATGGGAACAAGAAAGAGCACTTTAATCCTGACAAACTACAGATTTGAGTAATCATTTCAGTAACAGATCCAAGAAAATATCATCTTTGCTCAATTAAAGACAAACATCTTACTTAGTATGGAGCTTATGACCAGGATGTTATCTATATGACTTTCCCCTTCTCTCGGCCATGTCTTCATTGGTTATTATGCAGAGAAATGCAATCAGTTAAATGCATAAACACTCTAAAGAGACACTGTTGTGTCTCCCTTTGGTTTTGCTTTTGCTGTTGGTGGATATATTCTTTCTGCCAGTTGTTCAAATAAACGTTCTCTTGCTGTGAGAAATTACTTCAGGCTTTTCACAAAGATATCTTTTCATACAAGGAAAACCCATTTCCTTTAAAAATGTTTACAAATGTAGAAATATAATTGCCCTTTTCCACACTGATATAGCCTAATAACTTACAGCAAGACCAAAACCACACCGAGATTTTACCAAGTGGAGGGTTGTGGTGTCTGGAGCATTCAGATTTAAGAGGGAATTTCACAGTCCCAGTTTATATATCCAAGCAGAAAAAATTAAGAACTTAGAACCGGACATCTTATCAGTCAATTCAAAGGCAATTTACCCCACATCCAACTGTGTGTCACTGCACATTGACTGCCTCCTGTACCTTCTGATTAATTGAAATGTGGTTCTTCTGCTTATATGTGACAATGCAATCATAGTAAAACAGACAGGAAATAAATCAATTCAAATAAGGTTTACAGTTCTCTAGATGAGTTAGATTATATGCCTACCAAGTTTATTCTTGATTTTAAAACAACTTAATTAAGCTAGTGCAACTTTTAGGAAAATAAGCAGGCTCAAATTTCCAAAAGATAAACATCTTCTCAATATTGCATCTTTATTCTCATAAAACACATGCAAAGAGGAGCTTTTTAGTTTTATAACAATACTTTCAATCTATATAAATTATTCTGATTTTCTATTCAGTTTTTCTCAAAGTATTTTCAAATTTTTAAATAAATTAAAGTAAGCTAATGGCATGAATACACCTATGAAACCTTTAGTTGCTTCAGCGTTTACTCGGCAGTATGCCACTACAGTGGAGATCAGGAGAGACGTAAGTCTAGTGAAATGTAAAAGTTCCTCTTAGTTATTAACAATATTTAAAGATTCAATAGCAAAATTGATTAAAAGCCTCCAGAAATTCAGCAAAGCAATTATATTTGTTGATACTTGCACATCAGAGAAAACCTGATTATTTCAGTGCCATATACTGTTGACAAATGGCAGTGACAATGAGAATAAAATTTGGCCATATAAAAAATTTTCCATGTGAAGCTTGAAAATCCTACCTTTTGCCAAGTATTTGCTACATTTTAAGTATACTATGGACTATCAAATGTTTATGTTATGCTTCAAACCCAAAATTTATTATTTAATGCGCAAAACTGAATAGTGCCTCATACAATAAAATCTCATATTTTAAGTATGATGGGAAATAATGCCATGCCAGGAAAACATGAGACCAGCTATAACATTATTCATTATTAGTATTAATTTCAAAATAAAATTATCAAGGTCTTCTGCAATGTCATGAGGCAAAAATGGGAAACCGAGACCCTCTAAAGTTTCTCATCCCTTATAAGTAATCCTGCACTATTAAAACATATCTCTTTTGTACAGATGTTTTGAAACATAGAAATTTAGATTACTGCTGTGGAAATCCAGGTGATGATTTAATGAATCTACAGAACTACAATAATTGTCTGTAAATCTATAGACCTTCAAAGAAACACATATGAAAATACCATGAGATTATATAGAGTATTATTTTATCCTGTTAAGTTTTTATAAACCCATTAAAAAAAAGATGTAATATGTTGTAACTTATTAAACAAGGTAAGCCAGACACCCAATGAGTGTGTGGCACACAGCAGCAGATGAGGTCTTGTGTTTTTAGAGGCAAATAGGTGCAAGACTTCAAACAGCTGCTCCCTGCCCCAGTTCTTCTGCAAACCTCTGTGATTTTCAGCCTATGAGCTACACAGAGCTTAACGAACCTCTATAAGTGAACTTTACAACTGGGGAGCAGAATGCTGTCTTCTGTTCAGAGACTTCTTGGGCCTGGGAGCAACACAATGGTAAATACATTTAGCCAGTGAAGAACTCCTCCAGAGTCAGAAACAAATTAAATCTGCATGCCTGTTCTTGCTTCATTGGACTGGAAAAATGTGGCTATGACACTGTGATTAAAAAACAAATGCAGACACACTGCAACCATTGCCTAGCTGCCAAAAAACAGTTTTGCAGAACTATCAGCAAAATTGTCCAGAAGCCAAATTTTTAAACACTGAGGAAACTTGTGCTCTTAAAATAGCTTAGGCTGCTTTGTTCCATTAACTGCTCTGCATAATTAAAGATGCTGCTTATGAAAAAAAGATAAAATCAAACACTGATACATTGTCTCTTCCATTGCCAATTTTATTGCTGCTAGTAAGTAAAGTGTAGTCAAATGTGTAACAGC